TCCCTCCATGGATGCACTCTACATGTCACAGAGCCAATATGGGACCTCGGCATTTTGTTCGACCTCAACTGTTCTTCATACCCCACATCCATGCTATTCATAACATCCAGGCTCGACTACGCAAACTCCCTGTTTGGCGGCCTCCCTAACTCCTCCCTCCATAGGCTGCAGATCATCCAGAACTCTGCAGCTCATGTCCTCTCAGACACGAGACTCTGAGATTCTATCACCCCCACCCTCACCCGACTCCACTGGTTTCCCATCATACAGAGGATACAGTTCAAGATCCTGGTCCTCACTTTCAAAGCACTCCATGGCCTTGCTCACCTCTACCTCTGCGACCTCCTAACTCCCTACCAACCTTTCTCCCTCTGCTCAGCGGGCTCCAGCCTGCTTCACGTCCCATTGGCAGGCAGGCCTTCAGCCACTCTGCCCCCACTCTCTGGCACTCCATCCCGCAGACCCCTCCCTTGCCTCCTTCAAGACCCATTTCCAGACTCTCCTCTTCAACTGTGCCTTGGGTCACTCTCCTCCCTCCCTGCCCTCCACCCTCCCCGATCCTGACCCCCAGCTCGGGTCCAAAACATTGATTGTCCAGCACCTCCTGACATGAAAGGCACTATACAAACATAATTTGTTGTTGATTCTTAAGTTTAGATTGTACGTTGAATCAGAAGCTCACAAAAGTTGTTCAGTTGGAAAAGGCCCTTTGTCCCAATTGATATCCTTTCAGAACATAGCTACCATTTTTCCATCGCAGTTTCAAGTTTTTCTTAAATGAGTCCTCATGATGTGACTTCTACCACCCTCCCTAGTAAACCATTCCAGCTGTTGTTTACTCTATGTGAAGAAATACCTGCTCGTTTTGTCCTGAGCTTGATCTTCACAACCTTGAATCTGTGTCCTCTTATCCTGTTACTTTAGCATACTTGGAAATATTATTTGGGTTAGCTTTCTCTATCTGATTATTTATTACTATCTTCTGGGGGGGAGGGGAGATAAGTGAGTCTCCTTGCTTGGATTGAACCGGCTCCAAGGTGGCATGCTCGGCAATGGAATGTGGAAGTCAAGTCAACTCTCTGTGTTTGTCTCAGTGGTCCGGTTCCTGAGCCAGGCACTGCCGATGGGAGACCAGCCAACCAGGCTAATCTGTAGGAATTAGAGGAGCAGACCAGTCATTGGGGATAGAGATTCTTCCTATCTCAGCTTCCGTTCACCATGCGAGCCAAAACCCTAGCAGATAGGGTCCTAATTCGTTGGACCACCAAGCAGCAGGAAGCTTGTTAGACAGTGCTTTCAATGGTAACTTGTGTTCTTTTAGCTGATTAAATTCCAGCACCTCTCAAATGCATACTCTGGGGTCCCAAAGCCTTGGCTCTTGGCCCTTGATACTCTCCGGAATTAGGAAAGCAAGATACGTCCCTCCAGGGAGAGAGTGCATAATCCATTCCAATACACAGGAATTTCCATGTATAGGTGAGATGCATGGAACTTTCAGTTTGGTTTCAATATTCTTAAGCATGGTGATGGGTTTCTGCATGTGTCAGATGCTCAGCTGACCACATTTTTTTTATTAAGCATCTTAAAAGCCTCTATAAGGTCTTAGGATTTTTCTTAACACTAAGGCTTAGGCCTTAAGGGCTTTCCTTGATTTGTTTACTAGATAAATTCAGTGTGGCACTGAATCATAGAGACCATGGAGGTCCCAGATTTAATCCTTAACTTGTGCTGAATCAATCATTCTTAGCTGGGATGGCAGTTGATGTGCTGCAATTGGCTAGAGAGGAAAAATTCAGCCCAAGTTCTCACTGTTGATTGCTATCTGATGGTCCCTGCTGGGCTGTGAGCATTTGTGGTCTTCAGGGAGGACAGGATCAGATTTTGCTGTGAGGTCAAGGATTGAAAAAGTGCTACTCGAAACATGAAACAAGAATTTTTATTTAGACTGTGAGTGTCAACATTTACTGAAACAGGAGATCACAAACAGCAACTCTTGTCAGTGACTGGATATGTGTTATGCCAATCTGCAGCAGCTCCACAGGGACACATTGGAATTTTCTCAGGTCGGAATGACATACATCTGGTTGCTTTATGGGACTTCCCATTATAGATATTCAATGTACCCAGCTTTAGAGAAAGGGAAACAAAAGAAAAAAATTGCTTTGTTTTGAGTTTCCTTCTCAATGCACAGACTGACAAAATTGATGTAGAGGCTGAAGGTGATTGGCAACAAGAGGCAGGTATTAAAAATAATGTTTATAATGGTAAATTATTGGACAATGTGTATAGAATATTAGCTAGATAGGAGATGCCTCAATAGTAATCCAAGGTGTGTGTGCATGGGTGTGAGGCTTCAGATGACATCAAGAGTCACATGTTCCATCTTCAGTAGTTTTTATTCCAAGTAAAACCAAAGATCTTTAGTGCCTTTGTTCTCTATTTGAGTGGCTGAACTTAGATGAAAGATTACGTATGAGCTTCAATGGACTGAATGACCTTTTTGGTCTCTCAACAGAAGCAATCATATACTTCCTATCCATAAAAATAATAATAGTGAAATAATACACCTTGCATTAAATATAGTACAGAAAAATATATGTCATGTTGGGGGAACATCTCAAATCGCTTCACAGAAAAGTATAGTCACTGTGTATTTTGTAGGCAAACCAAACAGCAGACTGTTTGAAAACAGTTGTCAACATCTACCCCAGCTCAGGTACTGTGTACTGAAAGAATTTCCAGAACAGGATAGCTGTGCTCGACAAAATCTGACCAACTGATCACCTAACCTAGTTATGTTGGTAATAATTTAGCAGGGTTGCCTTCAGCAAAGCACCTGCAGAATAACCGGTTCCTGAACATTTAACAGTCTGTGTGGATGGTGGGTTCTGCCATTGACAAGGGCAGCAATGTCGATGCTGTCTGTCCACTCACTGCCAATGTGAAATTTCTCACTGTCACTGAAGGTAACTGAGCGAAACTTCTGAATATCCGACTAACCTTGCACGGGGTCCATTAGTCAGCCCTGGGGAGATATTTTCTACTGGTGACCTTTCCATTTCCCAGAAACACAAAAAAATTCAATAATAATTTTGATTATCGCTATCCACATGCCTTGCACCCTTCAATCACGCTCTGGAGTCCCTTGCTGGGAATGAGTTCTACAAATGTAATGATGCTGGGCTGAAGACTTCTAAATTGCATAATTACCTTCTGCAATTCTGTGCTGAAAACACACTGAGAAGTATTTGAGGGCGTGTTATTGGGCTGCAACACACTGCAACACAAAACTGTCCGATATTTGTTCCACAGCACAAAATCTCAGAAGCAAGTGCAAACTCGGAGCACTGTGATGGAAGCAAATGCACAGTGTTGAGCATGTGACTGGTAAAAGAGGGTGGAGTCCTCTAGCTTTGTAGGGAGAGCACTCGCCTCAAGTGAGAGGATCTGGGTTTGATTTCCAGGCAGAGCGAAATGTTGGACAAATTTCCTAACTACACACGCCTCTGTTTACCTGGCAGTAAGTAGGAACCCGATTGTTAATCAATTTGCGGGTTGCTTTTCCAGGGTAATAATCCCTTCAAAAAAAAATATGGTCTATCAATCCACGACTGTTTGTGGAACACTGCTGTGCACAATTGGCTGCTTCATTTCGCCACAAAATATTCAGTCAATTCACTTTGCAGTATATTCTATGAAGCCCTTTGAGACGACTCAAAGACGTGAAAAGGTGCTTCATCAAATGCAAGGATTATTATTATCATTACACTCACTTTTTGAAGAGAATAATTCACCAGTGCCTCCAGAAGTATTGAATTGTCATTTTCAATGCAATCTTTGCACTATTTTATTCTGAAAGATATGCACTTATACTGAAAGGTTTAAATCTTTGTCCGTGCTTGATTAATTGATGTGAACCGAGGCTGTGGGAGCAATATACAGGCATCCCCTTTATAGTTCAGTCATCTGAGTCTAACTCTCAATGGTATGTAAAAACAGAGTTTAAAAAATATACTTAGCATAGGAAACATGACTGACAATATTTCTAATGTGGGAAACTGGCTGCTCACGACAGAAGCTGTAAGTATTCCACAAGAACCCACTGTTGGAAACAAACAAACCTGAGCTCTAATAACCCTTAATAACAGGTTTGCTCCCATAATTGGCATAAGCCAATAATTGTCATGAGCTAGATTAGAGAGGGGACATAATAATTCTTGCATCTGATATAGTGCTTAGAACGTCAAAAGGTATTAAAGCGCTTCAAAAGCAGAAGATCACAAAGAGAAGGAGGAGCCAGGGTAACCTTAAAATTGATCCATTGGATTTATGTGTTTTATGTGTTTACTTCAGGGAAAGAGAATTGGGCCAAACATGATCCACTCCCACCCCTCACCCCCCACCATATAGACTACTGACACTCATAGTCAAGTGGAGTCCTGTAGCTTAGTAGTTAGAGCGCTCGCCTCGCAAACGAGAGGCCCTTAGTTTGATTCCCAGCAGGTTGAATGGTGGGCAAGTTTCCTTACTCCACTCGCCTGTTTACCTAGCAGTAAGTAGGAACCCAGTTGTTAGTCAATCGGTGGATCACTTTTCCGGGAGTAATAATTTATTCAAAATAAATAAAAATAATTTGGTCACACAATCCACGACTGTTTGTGGGACACTGCTCTTCGCAATTGGCTGCCACGTTTTGCCCACAAAATATAAAGTCAATTCACTTTACATTATATTCTGTGAAGCACTTTGAGACGTCTCGAAGATATGATAAGGCGCTGTAGCAAACGCAAGGATTATTTATTATTATGATAGTCTCAAACATCAGGAACTGCTGCTTGGTTAAGGTACTTGAAGATGGCCAGTACCTGTTGAGTCAGCAAGTTTATAAAATGGGAGTTGTGGGAATAGGGTGGAGGAACCATTAAAAAGGTCAAGGGATTGTAAGAATCTTCGAAGTGTAACTTGTTTATTTTTTTTTCTTTGTTCCTTTCTTTTGACAGGAGCACTATCGTACGCTGAACTAGGGACGAGTATAAAAAAATCCGGGGGTCATTATATCTACATACTAGAAGCCTTTGGGCCACTCACTGCTTTTGTCATGCTCTGGGTGGAATTGATCGTCATACGGTGAGTAGATTTCCAGACCCTCAGTGCTTACATTCCAAACAACAATTTACATTTTTATAGCGCCCTTCACTGTCCTTCACAAGGACAGTGTCATTGCCGAGCAAGGGAGGTGGGGGAAGGCAAGGTGACCGTAGGCACAGTCAATGAGGTAGAAAAAGAGGGAGGACGAGGCAGAGAGGTAGAGGGGGATGAGTTCCAAAATGTGCAATCATCGATGATGGGACAGAGGACACGCAGCAGGCCCAAGTTTGCCAAACAGAAGAGATGAACAGAAGAATGGAGTAGAAGAAGATCACAGAGATAGGGAGGAGGTAGACTGTCCTTGAAATTGGTCCATTGGGAACCAGGGGACCAGTGGAGTCTGGTGAGAACTGGGTTAATTGGCAAGAAGTGTTTAGTTCAGGTGAGGATGAGGGCAGTTGGAATAACAACAACAACTTATATAGCGCCCACCACACAGGGTAGCATCTCAGAGCTCTTAACAGTAGCAGAGCCTGACTCTGAGCCGGTGGGGAGATGACCGTAAACACAGTCAAAAAGGAAGGTTTTCAGGTGGGATTTGAAAAAGGGGCGAGAGGGGGCAAGGCGGAGGGATTGAAGGTTTCGGAGCGTAGTGGCTGAATGCTTGACTTCCAATGGAGGAGCGGATGGTGCGATGTATAAGCAGGAGGCCGGTGCCAGTCGAGCGGAGGTGCCAGGTGGTGAATTGGGGAGGGCGGAGGTCGGAAAGGTAGGGAGGATCAAGGGAGTGAAGGGATTTGAACAAGAGTATGAGGATCTTGAAGTCAATCTATTTGCTGATGAGGAGCCAGTGGAGCCTGGCCAGAAGTGATGAGATGGGAGTACGGAGTTTGGTCTGGGTCAGTATGCAGGCAAACATGAAAAACATGAATGAAGTCTTCAGCAGCATTTTATATGAGATAGGAACCCGAAGCAGGCAATGTGGCAAAGAAAAGCAGTCTTGTCAAGGACCGAATGTGAGGAAGGAAAGCTGTGGATCGAATTTAATGCTAAGGTTGAGTACTGGTTCATTGACTTTGGGAGAGAGCCCGGGGAGGTTGCGATCAGAGCTAGAAATGAGGAACAGGGACAAATGCATTTTTTTTCCTGCCTAGTATAAAACTTCAAACAATGTTCCGGTCTGCAAACTGCATTTATGTTAATATTCAAATTCATATGAATCATACACAATTGAAAATCTCTTATATATGCTCATTATCAAGGGGTTGAGTTCTGACTTATATCAGGGGTTTGCACCTTTAGTGGGATATTTTGCTCTTCTGGATTCTTTGAATGTGGAATTAATTAAAACAAAGGTTTTAAAACAGAGATGGCAATTGCACACATGTGAACAAATAGTTGAATGGACTCCTTCTGTGCTGAAAAAATCTATGTTGCAATCCAAATAGCCTGAAAATCTCCTTATTATGGCTCCTGGCTTGTGACTCAGTTTGATTAAACAAAATACAGTAGGGTTAAAAAAAAAGTTGTTAGAGCTGATATACTAAATAACACCAATGGTACTGATAAATGGATCACTGATAAAAGCACCCAGTCAATGTATTAAATTACTGACTGGCCCACGGTGGTGCTGGAAATGGAGCACCTCTCCCTTCCCTGGACCTGCCATTATTGTGTGTCAGCCTAGTACAGTAGGTAGCACTCTCACCTCTGAATCAGAAGATTGTGGGTTCAAGTCCCATGCCGGGATTTAAAATCACATAGTCTTGGCTGACACTCCAATGCAGTGCTGGGGGTGTGTTGCATTGTCGGAGTTGCAGTTCTTTAGATGAGACGTTAAACCAAAGTCCCTTCTGCCTGTTCAGGTGAATGCTGAAGATCCCTTGGCACTATTGGAAAAGAGAAGGGAGTTTCTCCCAGTGTCCTGGCTAACAATCCTCCAAATGGTCAGTTATTCCATGGCTGTTTGTGGGACATTGCTATGAGCAATTGACTGCCGCATTTCGCCCACAAAATCCAAAATCAATCCGTTTTACAATATATCCTGTGATCCATTTTGGGACATCGCAATAATGTGATAATAATAATAATAATAATAATAATCCTTGCATTTGATATAGCGCTTTTCACGTCGGGAGGACGTCCCAAAGCGCTTCACAGAACACACTGTAAAGTGAATTGACTGTATATTTGTGGGCGAACGCGGCAGCCAATTGCGCACAGCAATGTCCCACAAACAGTCGTGGATTGAAAATGACCAATTTATTATTGTTTTTGGTTTTGGAGGATTATTATTAGGCGTGTGGAGTAAGGAAACTTGCCCAAGGTTTCGCCCTGCCTGGAATTGAACTCAGGTCTCTAGCTTGCAAAGCGAGTGCTCAACCACTGAGCTACAGGACTCCGAATGAGGCACTACATCAAATAATAATCCCTCTCCAAAACAAAAGCAATAATAAATAGGTCATTTTCAGTCCACGACTGTTTGTGGGACATTGCTGTGCGCAATTGGCTGTCACGTTTCACCCACAAGTATACAGTCAATTCACTTAACGGCATATTCTGTGAAGTGCTTTGCGACGTCTAGAAGACATGAAAAGAGCTATATCAAATGCAACGATTATTATTATCAAATGCAAGAATTATTGTTATTTTTATTATGATTGTTGATTCAGAAGCAAGCCTTTTGTGATGGTCAGCCTTTTACTCTTTCAAGGTCAGTAAAATGACTACCATGTCTATAGCTGTCCCCTAGAAGGAAACCATTCAGCCCATCAAACCTATACTGGTGTAAGCTGCCCCATTTTAGCTATCTAATAGGTACAATCTAATAGCTATCTCCCTGCTCTTTTCGGTGCCCTTTTACATTGTTCCTTATGTTCATCTTCGGAATATTTTTATAGCTTTTCCTCACCACTTTTGAGTTGGAGTGCAATTGTTTCAGCTGTCAGTTTCAAAGATATCATTAAAGAGGCCAGGGCAAGTTATTATTCCTGGTGTGCTACTGCTGAATAGTGTCAACGCTGGCATTGTTGAAACAAATTAATGTGTTTAATCCCTCCCTTTTCTCCCTCCCCCCCCCCATTAACAGCAGCACAGGATTCTCTCATGCCTATGCAGAGACCACAGACAGACAAATCTTAATTAACGTGGGCAGAGTGGCAAAGAAAGCTTGGCAACAGTGAACATCTCGGAGATGACATAGCCAAATTGCATCACACCACTGAAGTTCTTTATACCACCTCAATATCTTTATTAGGACTCCAGTCCATAATTGGCTGGGATCATTGGTGACCTTTTATAAAGAGGGAGAATGCCGTTAAGTAAAGTCATTGGCATTGTTTAGTCATTGATTCCCCTTCCTCTCAAATACAGGTCTAGTCACACACAAATGTATTAGAAGGCTACTTAAATTTAAAGGTAATGCAACAGAGGAAATATTCTCAATATAAAGTATTAAATGCTACTGAAATATGTAAATCAAACTTTTCTCCAAAGGCATGCTATTTCAATGGATGTTAAAACTAGTATCATTGTTGAGAAATATAAACTCGAGCAGAAAACTGGGAAAAATTGTACAAAATAGTCGTAAATGTAAGCTTTAATTTGCAGTTCATTGTATTGATTAAACTTTTAAGCACATAAGTAATTAGTAATTGATGTGCGGAAGTCTCTTAATTGACTGCTAATTTGCACAAATCTTCTGTTATTGAGTAAGAATGTTTGCTTGATGTTGTTTAATGAGCGGCTCACTTTAGCTTTCATGACTCAAACAACAGTTTCAAATACTACAGATTCCCATCATACTGAAGTCATACTGAAGCAATAATAGTGTTCTGCTCAGGACACACCCAGAGTATTGCATATAGTTCTGATTACTACGACAGAAAAGGGTTATCCATGCTCTAGACGCAGGCTAGAGGAGAGCAAGAGGACAATTCACAATATTAGAGGAATGAGCTATAAATAATTAGGTATGAGGGTATATGTTTGGCTTTGCAAAGAGAAGTATTTCTTTACCCAGAGGATAATTAATGGTTGAAGTAGGTTACCAGGAAGGGTGATTGAGGCCAGGGCACTGGAATCATTTAAAAAATAATTTGATGCTGTGATAGGAGAATGGTACGGTTGGTAAACTGGAAGGATGAGATCAAATGGGCCAAAAGACCAAACCAATCTTGTGATTGTGTGATAGCTGCGGTGGCAATTGCCTTAAAGAATTTCAGTTCAATGCTTCAGGTGGAGCTTCATTCAAGATACTTCAGACATCCTTTTGCAATGACCCAAAGTTTAACCCACTGTTGTTTCTCGCAATAATTTAATTTGTTGTCATCAGTTGCTTCATGTTTCTTTTTTGCAAATCCTTGAGCAAATAGAACAGGGAATGCACACTCCAAAGGATCCAGTGGAAGGTTATACCCAAAGAAATATCTTAATGTAGAACATGCAATGAAAGATATTTCTGAGTTTTAATATTACCGGTGACACCACCTATTGACCGCAAAATAATATTGCTCAAGATAGGAAGATAATCAGCTCTTCCTATTGATGTCCATATAACAGTGACTGTTAAAGTAGAACATTGGGATCATTCTATTGGTCTGTTGGGTATATATATGAAGCAATTCCATGCAAGAAAAAAACAATTTTTATTGGAGGTCAATAATGATATCTAGCAGATCCATTCTTCCAGCATGGGTTTGTTTTTCATGTGTCGACCATCAGCACATTAAAAGAGATTAGCATTACAACCATGTGCCCGGTACATTGGACTGAAATATTATAGCACTAAAGACCACATGGAGAAAGTTCACAGCCCAGGTGAGTTGCAAAGGATTTTAGTATTTGCGCACTCAGTGTGACCTACCATTATTGCATTTGATTCAAGACTGAGGTGGATAGATTTCTGTTAGCTAAGGATATCAAGGGATATGGCGCAAGGATGGGCAATTGGAATTGAGGTACAGATCAGCCATGATCTATAGAACAGTGGAACAGGCTCAAGGGACTGATTGCCTACTCCTGTTCCTATGTTCCTATGATTGTCCCTGTTCCTGCTCCCCATATTATGTCGGGAATTCTACCTTAGTCATTTATATTAAAATCAGACAGTCTTTGAGGGGGGAGAGCAAATTGATAGATAGGTTGTGGAAGAGAAGGGATGTTTTGCAACAGCAATTTTTTAAAAAGCAATTTCACTGGGGGAATTGCCAGCACTGATACAACAAGTCTCCGACATCCAAGTCCTTGTTTTCTTAAATTCACGGCAGCCCAGAAAATAAAAGATGGGAGCATTGACTGATTAGAAAGCTGCAATGCCACTTTGGTCTCTTTTGGGGTGAGGGGTTCACTCTTAAAGTATTAATATTTTCAACTGGATCATTAGTGATTCGGGCTGTAGCAATTCATTACGTTGACATCCCAACATTCTTCTGATTATTGAAGTGATTAATTACGGATTGCATCCTAAATAGATCTAGCTTCCTGCTTAATGCCCTAGTTACATTACAGGAGTGATGTGACATCGCTTGCAGTATGAAAGCGATTTGTAACGGAACACCAAAATTGCATTAGTCACTGCAAGTTTCGCTTGCCTGTGGCTAAGTTCACAGAACATTCTGGGTGTTTGTAACTAATAATAATAATCCTTGCATTTGATATAGCACCTTATCAAGTCATTGAGATGTCTCAAAGCTCTTCACAGGATATACTGCAAAGTAGTTTTGACTGTATTTTTGGAGTGAAACCAGACAGCCAGTTTTCGCACACAAACAGCCATAAAGCAAATGACCAATTTTAGTTTTGGGGATTGTGGTCCAGGACACTGGGAGAAACTCCCTTCTGTTTTCAAATAGTGCCATGGGATCTTTAACACCCACCTGAAAAGGTAGACAGGACATTGGTTAAACATTGGTTAACATCTCATCTGTACTTGCGTCAATGTGGTGCACCCCCAGCTCTGCAATGGAGTGTCAGCTTGGATGATGTGATTATAAGTCACAATGTGGGTCTTCAACCCCAAAATCTTCTGACTCAGAGGCAAAGGTGCTACCACTGAGCCAGGCTGCTACAACTAATAATAAAAAATAATAATCCTTGCATTTGATATAGCGCCTTATCATGTTGTTGAGACTATTGTTTCACAGGATATACTGTAAAGTGTAGTGACTGTGTGGTTTGTGAGTGAAACACTGCAGCCAATTGCACAGAGCAGTGACCCACAAACAGTCATGAATTCAGTGACTAAATTATTATTATCATCTAAGACACTTTCTGGCACTCACTCTCACACACTCTTTCTCACAATCTATCTCGCTATCTCACATTCTCTCTCGCACACTCTCTCTTACACTCTCTCACACTCTCTCTCTCACTCTCTATTTCTAATTAAATGCACGTGCAGAGTTCAAGTTCCCAGCACTGAACATTGTGCTTTTTAGTTTACTTATTAGAAATAGGAGTGCAGCCAGCATGCCAAACAGTAATAAAAATATTTTGAAGTGTGGTCAGAAACTTTTGAACCCTTTTTGAGGGTGTATAAGTTTTGTTACATCACTTGTGGTAACAACAGTTCCTACATAATAATAATAATAAACCTTGGACTTGATATGGTGCTTTTTGACGTCTTCTAGACGTCTCAAAGCGCTTCACAGAATAGACTGCAAAGTGAATTGACCGTATATTTGTGGGCGAAACGCGGCAACCAATTGCACCCAGCAGTGTCCCACAAACAGTCGTGGATTGAAAATGACCAATTTATTATTGTTTTGTTTTGGAGGGATTATTATCAGGCGTGTGGAGTAAGGAAACTTGTCCAAGGTTTCCTCCTGCCTGCCTGCAAGTGTCTCGCTTGCAAGGCGAGTGCTCTAACCACAGAGCTACAGGTCTCCACTTGCACATCTGTTTGCACTGGTTGGTTCAATCCTGGAGCAGAGCTCAACTCAAAATCAAAGGCAGTTAACCTCAAGTCAAACCAGTGTTGTACTAAAATATTAGCAATGATTGAATGTGGGAATTGCCTGGAATCAATGTGAAAAGTGCATTACTCTTTAATTGAGGCACTCAATTGTGTTGTTCAGAGATTCATTATACTTGTATAGTGATGTGTCATTATCACATTGAGTGAAAACTGTTCCACTCTGCATGTTTATCTTATACTATTGACGTCTTTCATGACGTCCAAGCCTGATTGCACTGCTCATTGGTCTCTCCAACTCTTCCCTGCACAGTTTGCACACTTTCCAGCTTGTGTCCTATCTTGCACCAGGCTCCACAAGCCTATCATCCTTATCCTTATTCAGCTTGAATGGCTCCTTATCCCACAATATCCAGTTGAAAAACAATGTAGGCAATTGTCTCAAATTTGCGTGGGATCTGGTATTGTACCTGAATTGGCTAGCTTTAGGTTTGAAGAACTTTAGGGTAGAAGCAGGTGCTTGTAATAGAAAGTACCAGTAAAGGAATATTCCTAGTAATAATAAGCATTATTAATAGAAAGTACTGCATTATTATTGGTAAGTTGGCAAGTTCAAAGTACTATTATTGTAGTATTATTGTGATATTTTTAATAGAAAGCCTCTATTAGTGATAAATGGTGTCACGTAAGAACTACTAATGAAAAGTAATATTGACGGCAGGTGCTAGAAATTGGAACTACAAATAATAGTACAGTAACTGTACCACAAATGAAAAATGCTAGAACTTAGAAGTGATTAGCCTGGATGATTCTCAAATCCATACCAACATGAATTAGTTAAAAAAACTGCAGTCACCTCTGAAAAACATCTTCATATCCTTCAGCACTCCTCTACATCCATTCCACTGAAGTGAGTGCACAATGAGCTTTGTAAATGTAAATCAATTACTTCATTTTCAAAATAGAATTATCAGCTGGTTTTGTCACTATTCACACAATGCTTGTTTCCGGCAAAATAAAGCTGGCAAAATATGGAATAAAATCAGTGGCTCCCTCTTTATGCACTGTACAGAGCAGCAGAGAATGAAGTCTTGCAGAGCTAAAAGATGCAGGGGGTTTGGCTTGATGATAGATTTATTTCATGTTTTATGGTATTATCTGACCCTCACTTCCATATGTTACAAATATATGTGATGCTCCTGAGCAGTTCAGTCTAATGAAATTCTAAGCAAGACATTTAGCATGCTAAACTCCACAATACCAAACAAACATCCCTGCGTAAATTGCCTGCTCTGTTCGCCCACAACAAAACGTAGCCATTACACTTCACACCATATCTTGAGAAGCGCTTTGAGATGTCCTCCTGACATGAAAGACACTTTACGATAATATAATAATTATCATTATTATTTCATTTCCTTCACTTCTGAATTAAGACTGAATTAAAAAAAAATGCAACATTCTTGAGTTTTAAGACAATGGTCTCAATACTAAGATTACGTGAAATCTTGGGTCGCTGGCTCTTTAATGATCTTCTCAAAGGTGAGCAGAATTTAATTTATTGTGCTTTTTTCCGACAGTCCTGCAAGTATTGCTGTGATATCGCTAGCCTTTGGGCAATATATACTGGAACCAATATTCATGCCGTGTGCAGTTCCAGACATCGCCATCAAGATTGTCTCCACCGTTGGAATCAGTAAGTTCAGACGTGCATCCACATAAATGTTTCCCTTCCTCACGTACAGGATTTTAATCTTTGTGAAATAAATCCATGCTTGACATTTCAAATTATTGGCGTTAGATCTCATAATCTACTATGTCTATCTTCCTGAGTGGAATAGATAACTGGGGATCTCCTTTGAACTGAACTGACTCAAAGATACATGTTTGACAATGGGATTCCGCAATCGAGTCAACCCTTGGTGACAATCTCGATTGTCTAATTCCTGAGCCAGGTGGGTTCTCAGTTTTCCAGGACGTTGATGATGATAGACTAGTCAACATGGCTCAATGGCTGGACTTGGAAGGGTAGACTAGTTACTAGGCGCAACTAAGGCTAGTTTCTAGTAACCAATCTACTAGGTAGGATGATTACTTAGCAACATGCTACTGCTAATCCTGCAGCCAAAGTTCTAATGGGTAAGATAGTCCAACCTGGACAAGCAGCAGGAAGTTTGCCATCAGTGTTTTCAATGCAATGCTGAAATTCAGGTAATAAGTAGGGTGCATTGCTCCAGGAAGACAGTACTCATTCCATTCCAGAGACAGAAATATTGATATATCAGTGGCATGCATATGTGAAACTAAACACCTAAACACCTAAAGTCTATTTTGGATACTCTTAAGCATAGTGATGAGTTTCCAGACATTTGAGTGATATCGTCCTCGGAGGGGAGTCACTTTGTATTGAGCCAAACAAACATGCACATGTAATACCAGCTTACCATTGGTCAGGGGATTGGGCTACAGTGGTCTGCAATACCCTTTATTGGCTCAGGAGGTGGGAGCAGGGATGATGTTAAACACGTGGAAATTACTCAGAAATGTAGTCAAAGCCAAATAAACATTCATCACCAGATATCCCTCTGTTCCATATTTAAATGCTGCATAATATGGCATGACACTAAACCACAAATCATTTTAATTTATGTTTCATCTCATTCAAATACTTGGATAGGGTAAATAAATTTGGCTCACGTTCTTCGTCCCTTAGTTGTAAGAGGCGAGGGAGTGAGAGCCCAGATTAATGTGGGTGAGGAATTTGGCAAAACTCCGAAATGCATGCTGAAACTCTTTGATCTTTTATTGTTCATTGCACTGAAAAATGCCTAGCAGGACAGTTTACTTGTGCGAAACCTAATCGGATTACATGCTTTTATTCTTCCTCTTAAAGAGCTTGTTTCGCCATCAGGGGCACTTTTCTGGAGCAAACTGTTACTAAGGAATGTGATTAATTTTAACAGTTTTTATTCTTATCTCTCGGCTTCTTTTTGCTAAATAAATTAGATCAGTCTTTGCATTAGAAGTGCTGAGCATCAGCAGGAGAACTTGTCGAGAGATTTAAATCAATGGCGGCTGCCATCTTCATTAATCCTACCCGAGCACTTCAGTCGTTGTGTCACTTCAGCGTCAGACTTACAAATTCAGACCTTCCCTCACACTGCCGAGCTCGGTAACCTGACTCAGCCAATGTCACTCACACCTACAGTCCTAATCCTTTAAACAAACACACAAAAAAACAACAGAAGTAATAACAATAATAATGATAATAATAATAATCCATGCATTTGACAAGAGGTTTGAGACATCCTCCCATCAGGAGGATGTCTCAAACCTCTTCGCAAGATTTTATTGTAACATATATTTTGTAGGTGAACTCCTAGTAGAGAAAAAAAAGTAGAAAAGGATGTTTGAGATTGAGAACTTTTTGTGACTGATTGCAATGTAAAGCTGCCGCAAATCTGAGACATTGGTGTTTAATGAGTCTGAACATGGACTCACCTAGACTGGTGCGAATGTTCAGGGAACCGCTTCTTGACCGTCCTGTGGGCCATAGCCAGCCTGCGGGCCATGGATTTTGCCATCAATGGTCTAGTTGACAGGAGGAGTAGAGGATCAAAGAGATCTGGAGATTCACATCCACAAATCTCTAAAAGAAGCTACACAGGTAGATAAAGCTATAAAAAGGCAAATTGTATCTTGGGCTTTATATCCAGAGAGATAGAATATAAAAGTGAGGAGAGCATGTTGAATTCATACAAAACCTTTGTTAGACCACATTTCTGGTTTCCAATCATAAGAACAATATAGCACTGATGGAAAGAATACAGCGTAGGCTTATGAGGATAATACCAGGGCTGGCAGATTATTGCTATTAGGATAGACTGGATAGGTTAGGAATTTTTTTCGCTAGACAAGAGACTCTTAAGTGGGGACCTAATAGACATAGTTTAAATTGTAAACAGATTAACATAAATTGACTGTTTCAACTGGTTTGGGATTCCGTAACCAGGGACACAAGTTTAAGATAGTGACTTGGGGGATCTAAACGTGAATTTAGGAGGAACTACTTCATACAGAGGGTATTGATATCATGGAACTCCCTGTCCAAAGTGGTGGTTGAATTAGATGTTATAGATGGATAGAAGAGGAACCTGGACCTTCACATGAGGGACAGTGGAATGGAAGGGTATGGGAGGAAGTAAGGAATGGGTGAAAATTTGTGTGCAGTATAAACACCGGTATGAACTGGTTGGGTCGATTGGCCTGTTTCTGTGCTGTATATTCTTTGGAAATTTCTTTGTAAATCACTTGACCAATCTTTCCTTGCAATGTGGAGTGCAATATAAACCTAAGACATAAGTAAAAACTGCTCAGGCATTTATTCCCCATCCGATATTCTGTGTGACGTACTGAGCAAACTGCAGCCATCTGTGAGAGAGGATAAATATTTAAAGAAGGATGTTAAGATTTGTTGGCGTACCACTGTGCCATTGATGTACCTTAGTGCTTTCCTCTAATTATTCGAAAAACAACAATCTCCAGGTTCACCAAAGGGCATTCATCAGTGAAAATACTTAGAAAGATTTTAGAATAGGAAAAGACAATATAGCCTCCCCTTTTCATAAACCTAAACCACACTATCTATTTTCTCATCATATCCCGCAATACCTTCTCTTTCCAATAACACATTTATTAGTGTTATTCAGTGTTATTCAGTACCACTGCAAGTTCCTGTAATTTGACACACTATGATGAATTTGCAAACTAATTGCTATAAAATTACCAAACTTTGGAGAATCATCAATCTATGTTTTACCTTGTAATCCCAATTTTTGAAATCTTCAATGTACCAAACAAATCTCCAGCATGCACCTTGTCAATCCCCTTCTACCAAATTATATCACAATAATAATAATCCTTGCATTTGATATGGTGCCTTATCATGTCATTGAGACGCTTCAAAGCGTTTCACAGAATATATTGTAAAGTGGATTGACTGTATATTTTTTCACCTTTTCCAAAGCAAACAAAGATAGTCAGGAACTCAGGGTAGCATGCAGAAAAATCAACTTTTGGGCATTTAGGAAACTCTTCCAAAACCAAACTGAGAATTCCAGGCTGCATGCCACCTGGTCATGGAAATTTCCAAGCTGCATGGAACTCCTATTTTTGTATGGGAAGAAATGAGGCTTAGTATTCTGGGAAGGTGAGATCAAATGGGTGAAAAACCTTCTTCATCCACACCTCTCTTGCAATCTCCTTTTTCTTTTCCTTTGTTGGTCACATTCTTCTTTTCACTTAACCTCTGAATTAACTCATTTGAACTTCTGTCGTCCGAGAAAGATAGTGATTGGTAGAATTACCCATCAGGCAAGGAATTTTGTGAGTAACAATTAGGACAAACACCACTGCCATTGGGTTTCTTTTTGTATAGGCAGTCTTCCTGTATAGATTCTGGTAATGTTTAACACAGAGAAGTTCAAACACTGCGGTCACAATTGCAGTGATTTGTTATGGGAGTCATTCATAACAACTTCCACATCACAATTATCAAATTCTTCCAGTAACAGAGAGCCCTGACCTGTGAATCCTGCTGGGACCATGCAGGAATGCAAGTCCTCATGATGTGCATCCAGTTACTGGAAGGAGTCACTACTTTGGCTCTGAGTAATTACCTGGCCCGATAGAAAAGTGCAGACATATTTGCAAAAAATTGCGGAATGTTTTACAACTCTTGCGGAGGGGTTTGCTAGATTTTGCAAGGAGATTGCAGGGTTTGATTGGTGCTATTGAGGTACATTTTACTGCTACATGTTTTCACTTTATTGATAAAAACTAAACATAAGGAAATAACAAATATTAGATTGTTGCAAAAAATTATTAATTGCTTCTTTAAAAACTGGGTGGCTTTTTTTTTGGGTGGGAGACACCAGCAAGGCTACAGGAGCTCACCACCTCCTGCCTCTCAGGGCCAGTACCGCACACAGACACAGGGACCGGAGAGACACACTCACTCTGAGACATAGAGAGACACACTCACTCTGAGACATAGAGAGACACACACACGTACTCAGAGACACACGCTCACAGACACAGTGAGAGGCATACACACTCACAAACACAGAGAGAAACACAAACACACTCACAGATACAGAGAGAGACCAACAGACACAGATAGAGACACACACACTCACAGACACAGAGAGAGAGATACACACTCACAGACACAGAGAGACAAATACATGCTCAGAGACACAGAGAGAGATACATACACTCACAGACACAGAGACACACATACTGTCAGACACAGAGACACACACACTCACAGAGACACACATACTCAACAACAACAACAACAAATTACATTTATAGAGCGCCTTTCACATCGGGAGGACGTCCCAAAGTGCTGAACAGTCAGGTGTCTCGACCTGAGCATGGGGGAGGGGTGGTGTAGGGGTGAGGGAAGGCAGAGAGGTGGGAGGGCGACCAACGGCACGATCGAACAGAGGAGGCAAGGGAGGAAGCGAGGCGAAGGGACTGTGGGATGGAGTTCCAGAGTGTGGGGGAGAGAGGCTTCGTTTGCTGTGACGAAGTGGAGGCGGTGTGAAAGGTAGGACCTGAACCAGTCAAGGACAGAAACTTGAGGGTTGAGGTGGGAGGAGAGGAGGTGGAGGAGGAATGAGTGGTCCATGA